TCCAGGCCAAAGAAACGCTCCCAATGGTTTCAGCTGCTTGCAAGGACAGCGAGAGAGTTTGGGCTTGAGCAAGATGTCATGCAACCCACCTTACTGATGAAGACAAAGGAGATCTACGTTACAGTGCATGTTGATGATGTCTTCATGGTGGGAAACGAAAAGAGCTTGAGAGCATGTGTGGACTACCTCAAAGAGAAGATGAAGTGGAGCATTGAAGAGAAAGGCCCATTCCGTAGTGGTGAGACCTTCCACTACCTGAAGCGAGAGTTCGTGTTGTACAATGAATGGTGCGACATCAGGTGCGACTACAAACAGGACGAAAGCTTGGCAAAAGATGTGGACATCTACAAGAAGGCCTACAGAAAGACACCCACAAACCAAGAGTTCAGTAAGAAGGATGAAAGTGAGGAGCTGCAGGGTGAAGACATCACCCGCTATAGAAGTGTAGTGGGTCGCCTGATGTACCTTCCAGGAGAGAGACCAGATGCCCAGTTCGCCATCCAGAGCCTGGCGAAGTTCATGGCTAAGCCAACGAAGCAAGCATGGAAGAATGCTTGGCATGTCTGTTCCTACCTCCAGGAACACGGCTTTGGAGTGAGGCTATCATCAAGAGCCAAGGGACAGACGGTGATGGATGTCAGAGAAGCTGAGAGGAGGCAGAGGACAAGGAGAAGCACTTGCTTGAGGTGGTGTGCGACAGCGACTATGCTGGAAACAGGAAAGATCGAAAGAGCACGTCATCATTCCAGACTCAGATCCTGTTGGATGGAAATCTGATGGGGTCAAGAGTGCGGTCCCAGAATCAATCTCACTATCATCAGGTGAGGCTGAATTCGTCTCCATGGTTGGAGGGTGCTCTGATGGACTACTTGTTCGGCACCTATGGATGAAGATGGTCGAAGAGCCATGTGAGATGAGGATCAGATCGGACAGCTCAGCAGCACGCTCAATGTTCCAGAGGCAAGGCATCGGCAGGGTCAACATAGCTGAACTCCGCTGACTTTGGCGCAAAAGGCCTGACGAGGAACAGGCTGATTGTTCTACACTACATGCTGAAGTATGTGAACAGCGCAGGAGATCGAGTCGTGCGTAAGGAGTTTCGTGAGCTTGAGCACCGTGAACGAATGAGGAAGGGAATGCAAAAGGTGCTGAAGAATAAGAACCTCCATGTTGGCCTGATCTCGCTGCTCTCGAACTTGGAGAGTGTTGCTGGTGCAAGCGATGAAGAGGGGGACAGCTGGAAATGGATCTGGCTGATCTGTGCAGCTGTTGGGGCCTTGAGTCTGATTGAGTGGCTGCGGCACTATCTGCTCATGAAGGTGATCTACATGACATGGACCTACGTCAGGGACACCTTCAGTGCAGCCATCATGATCACGAAGTACATGAATGAAAAGGAGAAGTTGAATGAGAAAGCAACCCAGTCCGACACTTGGGTTGATCTGCAAGCCCTCTCCCGGTATGAAGCCGAGAACGCCGACTTGCAGAACAAGGTCTTTCAACTTGACCTATACATAGAAGAACTGGAACAAGCAGCTCAACAGACAAGGCACCAACGAGACATGGCGCTAGCAGAATGCCAACTGGCATCAAGTCACGGTGAGAAACCCATGAGGAGAAGATTGAAGTACAGAGTTTGCCGCTATGGCAAGCGCATTCATTTTCACGAGCACTGCTCACATTTTGCAGGGGCTGAAAGTCTCAGTTTGTGCTCAATATGCCTGAGCGGAGAGGGGGTGTCAGAATCCATGCACATTCCACCCGCTCAGGGATAACACACGCAAATCAAGACGTGTACCAATGTGTATAGGCCCGAGCTGTGACAAAAGCGTCATTTTGCTTCGCAATTACTTATATACTCTAATTGTTGAGAACAATTGTACAATACTAAGCATATGACCACGTTTGTATTGCTTTGTCCATATCCAAGAGGCATTAGGAAGTTCGGGACAGCCCGCCCTGCTAACCGTTTAGCTCTTGACTTTTGCATTTTTCTGACCCCATATGCAACACAGCTAAAGGATGAAAAAATCATGAACCAAGACACGAACTAAAGCTAGCGAACGCCAAAGGATCCGGACCCTCAACCACATAGGTTTTGGAGGGTCCAGACCTTTGCTATGGAGGCAAGGATGAGTAGCTGGTGGTTGGCCCCGGGGTCTACCCTCTTTAATTCCAGCTCATCTCAATAGCAGCGTTCTTGGAACAATATATATGTCATATGTTTTTGGACAACGTCTGCTGCACCTCAGGACTGGTTCCTGCCGACAAACCTGTTTTCCCTTCCGGACGCCCATGAATTTACAGTACATAAATGAAGCAAGATTGCTCAAACTGTTTCAAGATGCAAGAATTGGTGTAATGCCCGTGGTTTTCCGAACACAGTTGGTGGACATCTACCCAAGGAGTCATGCAAATCCCAGCTATTGGTAATACAATCAAGTGAGCGATGAGTATGTGAACATGTGATGTCATAGACCACACGTCCTTTGACATAGGAACCAGGCATTGTTCGGGCGTTTCGTTCGATCCAATGGTGTTTCTTTTCTACTCCACACCAGTGAACTAGTGGTAACTGGATGCCAGTTTTGATCGCTGCCAGAGGAGATTTCAACATTGGTCTTGAGAGAAACTCGCTTGCGACTTCTCCGACGAACTCGCAGGCCGTGCAGGTCAACCAAGCTCCAAGACGAATGCGAGCTCCGTTGCTTCAAGAGTTCCATGAAGGGATAAGGGTTCCGAACAAACAGAACAGGGCTCCGTTTTCGTGCCCATGCCAAACCCAAAGAGCCAGAAACCAATGGATGTTTCCCCAAAGAACCACTTGTTAAGTTAAGGATCTCCATTGCCGGAACAGCCAACGCTTCTGGTTTTGGGACTGTGGTTCCGGGTCATCCACAAGAACTGGGTGGGACTCAAAACCGAACATGCTTGGACGACCCACGGCCTGTCACAGACGACCCACTGGTGACATTTCCGTTTAAAGGTGAGTCCCCAGTGATGAGTAGTGATGTCAGATAGACCTGATCAACATGGCGACGTCGGGGACCAGCTGCCCTGATTTGTCGTTTGTGTCTGAAGGAAAGCTCCGGATCGCTCTCAGTTGAGAAAGCATCGGGCGGTTGGACGACCAGGGTCGCCACTGAACAGGTCTTCTGATGACAGCCACAAAGATGGCCTCCGCCGATGGGCACTTCCACAGCCTTCCGTCTATGAAATCTAGGAGTTGTGGCCAAAATCAGAGGAGAAGACATGACAAGAATACACCAAAATGACTCGATAGTGTCTCCAGACCAGCGGTTACTCAAAAAGGGTTTCAGTGGCAAACACCAGTCAAAAGTGTGAGAGTCTATGTAGTATGGGCCTTGTGTTGGATGTGCCGCGAATTTTGGAGAGAGTGTGTGGGGGGTTTCCCAGATTTTCCCAGTCAACGTGCCGTGGAAATGGTGTTTGATGAGTTGACTCTTTATTTCTAGATTCATCCAATGTCCCACTGCCAGCAGTAGAATTTGACAATGTTTGTTTTGCTCTGTAAATAACAGTACGTTTCCATCACGGAAGCGCAGCGGCACGTCTGATAGTCAGTCCTGTTTTCTCCTAGTTCTGACATCACAAGAAGCGTTTTGTCACCAATAAACCCAACAAGGCCTGGATTTTTCGGAGCAAGGGGTGCACCATGAGCACGTTTAGGTCCCGGCATTCCTTCTACAAATCCACTCTTCGTCCATGAACCTTCTCGAAGATTACCACATTCTCTTCCTGGCTTTGGACCATTCCTTTCGGACTCTGACTCACGTTCCATGATCTTTGGAAAAGGCCTGTTTGTAGAGGAAGGTCTATTTTCCACTTTGTAGAACGTTCTTTTGACGATACCTTACAGGTGAACGAGATTGCCAGATTTATCGCCCGTTGTGGTGCCCAGTTTCCTTTTTTTCTGTCACGACTCCTCCGGCAGTCCACTGGCCACTGCTCGCAATGATTTCGAGGCACATTTTTCATGTGGTTTGGTCTCATTCGATGGGACTGTGGGCCCACAACTTCAGCCATGGATCCTGTTTGTTTTCTCAGTGATGGAAGCGTGCCGTCATCGTGCCTGTCGCCAGTCTTTGAAAAACGCCTCGTTTACTTTTCTTCGTTTGATGCTCTTTTCAATCAGGCAGGATTCCTGGGATTCGCCATTCGGCGCTCTGAGGTTGCAAGCTGAGGAGACAAACCATGATGTCTTCCTGAAGTTGTGCAAGCTTCAGAGAAGATGGAGAGCTCTCTATCTCTCTCTAATAAATACAGGCGCAACAGAAGCCAAAATAAGCTAGTAGCCGCGAGCAAGAGGGAGTGAGGTGACCATTTCTTGTGTATATCTTGGGTCTGTACTACTACCTGTAACAGTCGGTAAAGAAGAACATCATCATCCACTCAAACCAAAACATCTCCAGATCGTATCTTTTTGTCCAATGAATCAACAGTCAACAGATACATGGAAGATGACCCCCTGTGTAAACAACACGGATCAAACATGCCAGGACCATAAACAACCGGTGTCCCAACTCCCGGATATCCCGGAGTCCGTCGGTGCTCTTAGAGAGTTTTTTGGGACATCCATGGGTTGGTCCAACAACTTCAACGGTCGGCGTGAATGGGATTCGGCTCAAACCATGTGATTTTTTTATGTGAGATATCTTTTCAAATGGTCTTCAAGCAAAGAACTACGAGTAGTGTATGCGTTTTTGTTTGTCTATTTTTTTTCCAAAGCAACACAAAAAGGACGGACCCTCATAGCCTATAGTTTTGACGCTTCCCACTCGGCTTTTTGAGCTCAAAACAATTGCTTCGGGTCCGAACGGGGTTGCCTCTTGTCGACTCGTCGGTCGCTCTTCGACTCATCGACCAGGTGGAACGGGTGGTCTAAAAGCTGGTCGCACCAGGCGACCGACGGAGTGCACCAGGTGACCGATGGAGGTTCAGGGTGACCTCCCAGGTGACCCAGGTGACCGACCTCTCAGGTGATTTGAGTCGCTCCAGCTCTCGAAGGCCACCGGTCCGGACCGGCTGGTGAAGAGAGAGGTTCATGGCAGTGCGGAGAGAGAGTTCCCTCGTTAGAAGTTCACTGTGAATAAACAAGAGTCATCATATAACTATAATCTAAGATTATAAGACTATAAGAGCTTTTTGCCACCTTATGTGGGGGGGTGTCAGGAAATTCATAGAAATTCGGACAACGTCGCGATTTTCACCAATCATATCGTCCGTGTGTTGTTTGGAATCTCTTGAGATGTGTGGACTCCCAGGGTTCCCGATTATATATATATATATGTATTGGCGCATTTAGTGTTTTTGGGGGGAAGGTCGCAGAAGATCAGGTCGCTGAAGGTCCACTTCTTAGATGTTGGAATATTCAGCCTTGGCATGCCTTGGCTGATCTATAGGTAACCTTGATGAAGCCTAGGTCCCACTTCTTTGGGGGCTGGAGGAGGGTTTCGGTTTTGAACATGGCCACGTTCAGGTTTCGTTCGGACATCCTGGGGCCCAGGTGAGACCCGTAAGCTGTTCTGAGGTGTTCGGAAAATCAGGCTTGGGAATGGAAAGTGCAGGTGCTTCAAGGTAAGCAATTCTACCTGAAATCCATTGGTGGGAAGCAATCAGGTGGTGCAGATGGGGAAATCCGCCGGAAGAACAAGCAAGTTTGAGGATGCTCCATTTGCACCAAGCAAATGTGAAGGGGAGATCGCTGTGAAGAACGGATTGGCTGTGAAGACCTGGCAGAACGACCCAAAACAGGAGATCTTCGTGCAAGAACACCATTCCTCTGACATCACCAGCAAGGGTTTTCATCGGCCGCTGCCAAGCACGACGGGACGGGACTGGTGGAATGCCAACATGGATGGCCTGCCGTGGTGGCTTGCTTCGTGGCTGAAAACAGAGATTTCCTGCGGATCCAAGACAACCGAATGCTTTCGGTGTCACACCCACCCAGCCGGTTGGGCGACATTTATATCAGGCTGCTGGTCATTACCTGCAACAGCTCAAAACAGCTCAAAAACTCTCATTTGCACGAAGCGATGTGGCAACTTGTCCAAGCTGATTTGCCTCATCGACGCTAGCTGATGCTAGCTGCTGGCTCGCTAATTCCTCCACTGATCAACGATGGAAGAGAAGAGCCATGTGAAGTGCCAAGAAATCTGTTCTTTTTCGACATCGCCCCTCCAGTTTTATGGACGACTGGCCCTGTTGCTGGAAGCATAGAGATGGGCCTTTATGCCCTTGGTTTGTTGATCTTATAGAGGGGATATATACCCCAAGTATCCCCAAGTGTACAACCTGCTTGTAATATATATGGTAACAAACCTGATCACTCGATTTTTCCGACATCAGGACAGCTGGACTGGTATTTTTTTCTCCCAGTCGATCCTTTGAGGACGATGATTCCCAAGAAGTAGAAGGATATGACCTTTGTTATACGAGTCGATTCTCTATGTCTGTGATTGACCAGCATCAACCATCCCCATGTCCCGTTTGAAAGCGTCTTCGCCTCGACCGATGTCCCGTGCGTTTACGGTTGATGCAGTGAGGGGAGGAGATGGACGGGATGGACATGGATGGATGGAACAGCTTCCCCACCCAGGGCCCTGTCTTAGAAACACGCGCAGAAGATGAAGTCCGGATAAAAAGTAACACCATGAAGAGCAAGATCTGTGAAAAGGATAGGGAAGAACTATAGTCAAAAACTAGAGTCACTTTATCATCATCATGTTTTTCATCATGATGTCATTCATCTTCTATCCAAAACCACATGGATGGGTGAGTCATTATTGCGTAACACCAGCATCTAATTTGTGTGAAAGAAGGTGCTGTAGATACAAGGTGGGTTGAATCAAACAAGATCGAAAGATCCCCATGGAAGTGCCATGATGGTGATGCAAGATCTGCGTGGAATATCCAACCTTTTTCACAAGACAAATCATAGCAACAGGAAGTTCAGTCCAGACGTGCAAATGACTGTGGTCCTATGATATGTATCCCGACGGGTTTACTTAAGAATGTGAGACGTTTGTGAAAAACGCAACGATTTTAAACGGTTTTACTTTTTTTGGGAAAACAAATTGTGTTCGTTGACCTGAACCGGGGATCTCTACATAACAATGTTGTTTTTCGACTTGAACACACCATACACGGGGGAAGAATTGTATAACACCGGGAAAGCGAAACGAACTGTTGAGCTCCTCTGCCGGACCAAGAAAACATGTGCGCCTAACACAGCACGCGTCGCATTGTGTAGCGTAACGTAGAAGAGTTTCTTCTGTATGGGTGTGCGAATCGAACCGAACGATAACATCCCCAACCCATCCCACCCCACCCCACTCTCGGGCAGTCGCAAAATGTAGGGTAGCATAGAAGAGTTTCGGTGTGCAAATAGAACCGAACGTTAACACCTGAACCCATCCAACCCCACCCTGCTACCCTGCTATCAGTCAGTCGCAGAATGCAGCGTAGCGTAGAAGAGTTTCTAGTTGATGGATGCGCTAATAGAACCGAACGTTAGCATGCCATGCCATCCGACCAACACCCTCAGAATAGTGGAACAGCTCTGAAGTCGTATTCACAAGGTGCTTTACCTCGAACGACAACCAAGTTCCCAAAAATGAACTATCCCAAAAACGCGCCAATTTCATATGAAACAAAGTACAGGTCACATTAAACAACACTCACCGTCTTAAACAAACCCGTTTGGATATATATATATAGTTATATATATATATATACACGCACACACACACACACTGTATAAGTACTTCAAAAGCGGAGTAGAGGACTGCATGTGACCGCATGGTGCTTAATTCGTTTGGAAGTGGAGGAAGGACCTGCCAGATGAGATTCCCCATCAGCTCCATTTCCCACAGCTGGGTTCCCTTCGTTCGGGGGTCGCAGGTCCAGTCGCCGCAGCGCCAAGGCGCCTGTGTGTGAGAGAGAGAGAGTTAGATAGGTGCCGAGATGGCTGTGGATGAAAAGGGGGGATCTACCAGACTAACCCAAGACCATGGTGAAGCTTACGGATCTCTCTTTGACTCACCATAGGGTCCCCAGTCTTCCAGCAATTCGTAGTGTTTCACTTTCTTCTCACCCAAAAGAGGGATCTTCCATGATCTTCCTCCCGATGGGCCCCAGGTCTCTCCTTCTCCAATCACCTGCGTCTCTCTGGTGATGGAACCGAACGTTCTTGGGATCTGAACGAAGGGACCGTTTGTTCGGTGCGAAGGGACCGTTTGTTCGGTGTAGCATAGCATCCGGTGAGCATGGGACATGAACATGATCGACGTGAGGAGTCAGACCTGTGAGGAGTCACCGAACCTCCCTCGGCCCCATAGAGGGACGCTAGCTATTCCGGGGCTCCTGGCCGTACTACTGACGTCACCCAGGGCATCGCGAACCGAACGGAGCGATCGGACGCTACTCCGTTCGATTGACCGGGGATCCGGCCCCGGGGTCCAGGTGTGATCAGCCACATGGCACTGCTACTGTTTGGTTTCCACCAGCCGCAAGGGACGTGACATTGGTTGTCAGAAATGATGACGTGCTGTGAGGCCGGTCGTTTGAACATAGATCCATGAAAGAATTGTCTACTCCCCACAACCAGAGGGTAAGGGCTTCCAAAGACTAGTTCTAGAGCTTTGTTCGTGCGAGTCGCCTGACACAGGTGTTCGGAGTATTCTTTTTCAGGCGTAGCGAAACCCGCCCATTCATACTAGGTCCATCCTGTTTGGGTGTCCTGGCTGAACTACCCTATATATACACTACTTAGATGTCCAGAGAGGACACCCATCGCATGGTCCAGGTACGTTCCATTCAGTTCCCTTTCGCTGCTTGAAATTCAGGACGGCCGCCCCAGGAGCGTGGCGGGCAGCTCCTTGGAATGCAATGGGAGTGCCAGGGGCGCATTGAGGGGCATTGAGTAGGGAAGCAAAAGCATTTAGTGCGGAGACAAATACAGTATCTATATATACCAGCACCTTCATGTCGGGGTCACCGGAAGCCCCTACACCAGTGAGGGACCTCTAGACGGGACACCCCTTGAAGGTCCAGGTAGAGTCTTGCAAGTCTGATGACTTGGACTGGCGGAGACGGCGATCGTCCACAAAAAGGGGTTCTGTGGACTGTTGAGGAACCGGCCAATTCCGGTCTCCGGAAGGGTTTTATATCGGTGGGGGTGGGTTGATTCGGCAACAGTCAACATTGCAAGGCTACATTACCCAATCGCTTCACACACACAGACAATGAGCTGGATGAGACTCCCATCTTGAAGAAGAACAATGAGTTTCGTCATGTTTCGTCAAGGATCAAGGCATTTGATGGACAAGGTGTATTTCAAACTGTGGCGCAACCTGTTTCCTTCACATCAAACTTTTGAGATGAGGCAGACCAAAGGTGAATAAAACTTGGCCCTTAGATGCCCTTACCCAACTGCGGTGTTCAACTAATCACTAATCATGGAATCCTGTTTGACTTGCATACAGTCTGGTTGGCATCACACGCCTATTTTACAAGGGTCACAAAGGTGATATAGCTGTGGGTCATTCCCCTGAAGTCCCGGTTGACCCTGTTAGGTTCTGTTAGGTTAACCTCCCTGCTAGGTCATTCGCTTCATGTTCCGTCCACCGCTCGGTTCGGGCGAGTCGTATCGCCCGTGGTCCGTTCGGCTTCGCGTTCGCTGTGGGACACCCAAAGAGAAAGGCACTGCATCACCGACTACTTGAGCCTCCAAATGAAAGAGAACGCGTGCAAAGCCTTCGGGTTTGGCAGTCAGTGGTCTTTTTGCGAGCTGATCATGGGGAGCATTTGTTCAAGCGCCGGCGCCAAAACCCTGGCGTGGCCACCCTCGGGGCTCCCAAGGTGAAGACTACCACGAGCTCAAGGATCGATTGTGGAACAACTGCTGAAGTGGGATCCAGTCCAGCTGCGGGATGAGATGCTCACGTGAGTTTCAGCCTGGAAACCAAACAACCAGAAGTAATCAGACATGTGACATATATATATATATTATATATTCCAATATGACAATTGAGATCAACTGAGATTCTTTACTTCTTTACATAGGAAGTGGCTGTTTGGGGAAACATCTATTTGTCAGGCGCCAGTGCTAGGTTTGATAAGGGCGGGCATTTTTGGATCCTTTTTGTGGGATTATTGCCGGTGTTTGAGGGTTTTCAGTGGCTTTTTCATTTCGCCCAAGCAAACATAATTTGTTCGATGCCGATGCCAAGTTAGTTTCACCATGCTTTCGCGCTTTCGTTGTTCATTGCCACCTGGAAACCACAACCCCGAAAGTGCCCGGCATGACACATGGCGAGGACTACATGAGACGTTCACCACCCCGACTTGGCCGTGTAAGCCGGCGGCCCAGCAGATCAAGAAGGCCCAGGGTCATGGGGGTTCTCTTGAGGAGGCCTGCTTGTGGACTTGGTCGTTTGGAGCACCCAGATGGCCAATTGGAACAGACGAAAGAGCTGCAAGAAACCATCCTGCTGAGGTTTTTAGTCTTTTGTGTGCCTAAAGGACACTTCCTGAAAACGTCACAAAAGAAACATCTACAACAGTCAACTGACTGGCGCGACTCGCAGGGAAGGCTCGGATGGCTCCTAAGGTATATATCAAAAAATTTGTATAATCGTATATCTATAGGGACTGATCATTGCCTCATTCCCTATGACTCGCTCAAGTCTCTAAAGGAGGGTTACAGTAGTTGGTGTTGCATGAGGAGCTTACAAAGACTTCCTATAGTCTTTGGACTTCTAGGGTGTACATCCGCGTGGTGGTCATGGTTCTTCCTCGGCTTAGCGATAATAAGGAAGGACTCAGACCTGAGGAACAAACAGTTCAGGAATTACTTACCTTTCAGTTACAGTGGTTTCAGAATAGATGTCACAAACCCGAAGATGTCTTTAGGATGGGGATCCATATAAACCACCTTTTGGGGATTGTGCCATCTATTCTGAAACCGCTGTGCAAAGTGTTACAAAGTGTTCTTCGCCTCTCTGTGGGATCTCTGTGAATCAGGCTGGGACAGGCACAATTGTATTACAGGTATCGAGGATTGAACCCCCAATGTTCTTTTTCCTACTTTTTCCGAGACAGCGCATTTTTGAGAGAGCACTGATCGACTCCTCTTCATGCTGTTTGGGTCACTTGTTTCTATCAAACATCAGACTGCCTAAAACTCGTACAAATAGATGTGGACACAAACGACTCTCGGACCATGCATGGCCCAGTCTTCCCAACTTCCGAGGATTTGACATGCCGTAGTCTTCGGAGCTTGCGTGTCTCAGACTGGGTCAACCGGTCCTCTCACACACCCCTGGGAGACATGGGTGTATGCATTTAAGAAGACCATTTTCCAATCGAGCAAACCAAAGACCGAGTTTGACCACCTGAACTACGAAGAACTTCGGCTTCAAAGTGGTTTGACGTTCAGCCCTCCGAAGTCGTTGGACTGTCCAGCTCGTGCCAGGCGCGTGGAGAAGCCCAGGGCAAAGGAGAAGCCGTTGAAGCGCAAACGTGTGGAGTTACTGCCCAACAAGGCGCGGACTGTCCATCAGCGGAGTCGAGGTCCCAGCCCGGCACCCGGGGTTCGGTGCCGGTTTGGGTCGATGCGATAGCTAATGAGTTAAAATACAGTAGCTAGCATAACTATAGCATATATAGGTATTTCATGGTATTTCTATATTTAAGTAAATTGTGGTGTGTATCTATGGTGGATAGACATGTGGTTGTGAAGGTGTGAAGGAAGGATCATTTGGAAGAGCACCTGATGGGGTCTCAGCGAAACACCAGTAAATCTGTTTGAATGCGATGTGGTTGTGAAATCTGATTGGTGCCATGTTCCAACTCTCCCATCAAACGGGGTTTTCTTCCTCAGGCTGTTCAGGAAATCCTTTTCCCCGTTGGGGTACGCTGCTCAAAGAATATATCATCGCCATGGTTTCGTGGGCAGGGGCTAGATGTTCAAGTCCAGTCAAAGGCAGGTTGACAGTTTGAGCTGGTTTCGTAGTCTGAACTCTTACCAAGAGATGCTTGCGCGGTCAGGCGACCAGTAAATCGGTTTGAATCCTCGGGTGACCGAAGCTCCTACTTCAGCGGCTGTTCACGGCCGACCCATTCGGTGGCAGAAGCAGCCGACCCGTTACGTGGCCAAGGGTGAGGTCATGGGGCAGGTCATGTTGACTTCCATGGCTTTGAAGTCTGAACCATAAGCATCAGAAGAACACCGAGGTTCTGCGCGGAATGTTGGCATCATGTTATTCTTTGTGAAGTCTCGGAGACCTCTCGTTTGCATCATCCGGTTCTTCTGACGTGAAGTCTTCGGTTCTTCTGCCAGTCCCTTCAATGTTCAATGATCAGCAGAGCTGAGACAGACGGAGTTGAACACATCTTTTCCCAAGGCGTCCTAGTAGCTTCTTATTAGTAGCGATGGCCTCCACCTAGTAGCGTTCACAATGCAGCTGCCATCCGAGAGCTCCGAGACTTCCCACGAAGGCACCGCCCAGAAGGTGACGTTTGTTTTTCGTCGACCTGACAGGGATGCTGTACATGATTTACCGGAGCCTGCCCTCCAAATGGGGTGCCTGACTGGTTTGGCTGACTGAGTGACCAGTCTAGAACATTTGGTGTGATTTAAAGACCTTTGATGTGGCCCTTGATGTGGCTGGATAGGCTCGGTTTTCATTTGAGGCCTTAACCTTTGGTGGCTTTTGCCTGTCGAGTTAAGACCTGCTCAGGTGTGATTGATCCTTCCTTGAAGGAGGAAGAGTTCTCTGGAGCCACGAAGAATCTACTAGCGGTGAACCTGTGACTTCCATCAACTAAATAGGAGTCTACATAGACCCCCCAGCTACATGTATGGATGGTGATCTGTGGGGAGCCAAACATCATCCAGAATGGCTGGGTAGTTTAAGAGGGAGACACCCTGGCCCAATGGGTTTGGGTCAATTTCCCTTCTTCCAGGGGGTCGAACTCGCAGGTTTTTCCTATTTTGATATATACTAACTACTCGGACTGGCAGGTCAAATGGGCCTTTTTTTCCCAGAGAGACCGTTCGAGTGGGTGGACTTCGATTTGCCCCCAACCAACATGGTTTCGTGGGTTGTCCGTTTCGACTTCGGAACATTTTCTTTCCACGGCTTGGAGCGTGTCTTTGCCACAGGTCGACCTCGTTTCAGGAGACCTCCCGGAAAAAGGGGTTCCCAGATGTTCTGTTCCCCTTCACCTTCACCTGGTGAGGCGGTCGAGAGCTCCACCAATGCCGCTGGGATGGGCGCGTTCCGTCGGTGAGAACGAACGGTTTCCGTTCCTCCTGGCCCAGGCGAAAACATAGCACGAAGCAGTGATGAATCGACACACGCACACATAGATTCACATAGAGCCTCGTTGGAAACACACACACACACACACACTTACGGAACCTGCTAGAAAATCAACCGTAGTTATTAGATGTTGATAGATAGTAGATGTTGTGAAGTTTTCTTGGACGTTTCCCACACCATTCCCCCGTCAACTTCGACACCAACTTATGCTTGCAGCAAGGCAACCCATAATTGAATTCTGGAACTTCTGGTGACAAGGTGTGCCCTGCCGCCATTACTTGAATGAAGCGACCCAGCAATTGATGCCAAATGTTTAGACTTGGCAACAAAGCTCACAGAAGTCATCCAAGCCTGACATAGCTCGTGCAACACTGACTTGGAACCACTGGAAGTACACAGAAGCAAGATTCTTGTTTTTTGTTCTAAGTGTGCACTTAGAATCTTGGCAGCAGCGAGATCGAAATCCAAATTGCTTCAAAGACGTTCTAAGATGCTGTAGGTATTTGTCCACGGTCATATTTGTCAACCATATTATATAAGCAGTAAAGTCTATACCTGGACCTTCAAGGGGTGTCCTGTCTGGAGGTCCCTTAGTAGTGTAGGGGCTTCCAACCAGGTGACCCGGTGCCTGGCCGCTGTCTGGCCGCCTCGTCTCCACTCACCACCCTGCCAGTTTGTCAAAGAACCGATCCGGATGGACCTTCCAACAGGTGGTTCTTGGACACCCCTTAACCTCTAAGTGGCTATTGATAGACACCTCGAACGGAAGGTCCTGGTGGATGACTTTGAGTAATTTTAAGTCAGTGGCAAAGGTTTTCGAAAGAAGCGAGTCGCAGGCACTGGGCGCATGATTATACTCTCTCCCAACGCCAGAACGGGCCCAATGACAATTTCCTGCTGCGACTCGTGAATGAGGGACGTTTTCGCCGACCTTCCTTGAGCGGAGTGAGGCGCGATTCGCCTCATTCCGCTGTGAGTCGCACCAGTCAGAAGACGGGCTGTGTAGCTCAAAGAGTTCGGAACTTCCGACTACCCTGAAAGGTTCAGAAACAGAACGACCCGTCTACGGGGCGAGATCTCGGGGAGCTCGCTATTCACACGCATTGGGCCACCCATCCCGCATAGGGACGTCGCCCCCGACCGTGGTGCCGAGGAAGTGCAGCGGGTGCGCCTTGAATGCCGACGCGCCAAGGACTGACGTTGGACGGCGTGGGAAGGAGTCCGAAAGCCAGTGCATTTGCCGAAGACCCTTCGGGAATCTTGGCGTTTCTGAAGGGGGATATCAAGTAACTACCCTCGTTTCGAACCGCCATTGGAGCTTGCCAATCTTTATTTTTCAATGCACATGGTGACATGGTGTTTTTTCCCCCAAACAGTGTGGACACACTAGGGGTTCTTACGGTAATAGAAAGCAGCTGAGGCTTAGATCGCTGAGGCGCACGGGCGTGAACGGCTAATTCGTTGCTACTTACAGTACATTCATGCCTCTCGACATCGTCCATGTGCACTTCGACTGCGCAGGCTCGCAGAATCTGGGGGCCGGCGGCAGGTGCTTCCAGCGACTGCGCTCTCGTTGTGGTGCCGTGCGCATTTTGGTATATGGTGGTCGCTTTTCGTGGCAGGCGCAGGGGAAGCCTCGTGTTTTGGTGCTCCGAAGTCGACTTTTCGTGACAGGTGCAAGGGATCGGAGGTGTTTTTCTTCGAAATGCAGTTTTCGTGGCAGGTGCAGCACTTTGGACATGGTGGTGATCGTCGAGTGAACCTCGAAGTGCAGATTTTGTGGCAGGCGCAGCTTTTGGTGGACCTGGAAGTGCAGATTTCGTGGCAGGCACAGCACTCACCTAGCGCAGAGCGACTGGCGTGAGAAGACTTTCTGCGCCAGGATCCTTCTCAAAAACGGAGCCCAGGAAGTTCAAGCCACCAAAGCTGCTTTGGACCAATGGAAGAACTTGCCCAAGTACGTGGTCCACACCGCTGAGATCAACCGCAGTGTGTTGAAGCCATACCAAGGTGCTGTTTTGAGCTTTGTTCACTTTTGGACTTGGGCAGGTTTGATCGCGATAGGTAGGTGTCGACTGTGACCTGTCAGGTTTTCGCTTGAAAGCAACTGGCTTTCAAGATCCCAATGATGAAAATGGCATGAGCCAGGAGTCATCACTGTGAGACTCCTAAGGCCATGCTTTCTGAGGAATCCAGAACGACCACTGCATTCGGACTCAGTTCAGACTCCAAAATCTTCAGCGAGCTGTCGCATCCTTTCCACTGTCTGCTGTTTCCGATCGCGCAATGGCCTTGGCGGCGCTGCGGCGCAGGGCGACAGGCGTGCACCGCTCCGCTGCGAGAGTGCAAAGCTCATGACCTTGTAGGGGAGTAAGCCTCCCCGCCCATCCACTCAAGCACCCACCCTCACTCGCTCTCACTGACTCTCACTCACTTTCACTCACTCTCACTCACTCTCACTCACTCTCACTCACCCTCACTCACTCTCACTCACTTTCACTCACTCTCACCCACACTCACTTTCACTCACTCTCACCCACACTCACTTTCACGCACTCTCGCCCTCAGTCAGTCAGTCAGTCAGT